GAGAATCATATCAGTCTGGGCTAACTGAGATCATATCTTTTTTTAAAAAATATTTATTTATTTTATCATGTATACAATATTCTGTCTGCATGTATGCCTGTAGTCCAGAAGAGGGCACCAGACCTCATTACAGATGGTTGTGAGCCACCATGTGGTTGCTGGGAATTGAACTCAGGACCTTCGGAAGAGCAGGCAATGCTCTTAACCGCTGAGCCATCTCTCCAGCCCCCTGAGATCATATCTTAAAACAAGAAAAAGCTCCTCCCCCAGACATGATGGGTTGTATAATTTCTGAGGTCATTTGTTTTAAAAATTAAAATGTTTCGCCACTGGGCGTAGTGGTGCACACCTTTAATCCCAGCACTCGGGAGGCAGAGGCAGAATCTCTGAGTTGGAGGCCAACCTGGTCTAAAATGAGTTCCAGGATAACCAGGGTTACTACACAAGGAAACCCCATCTCAAAAAAAAGAAAGAAAAAAAATAAATGTTTAAGGTCGTAACAAGAGAGCATGAAACTCACTGTGGGGTCTGGTGCGACTTCTGAGCCCGTGAAACAGAGCCTTGGCCCTCCTCAGTCCGCTCCAGTCTTCCTAGATTTTGCTTCAAGAGCTTGGCTGCAGAGTCTGGGAACCCACCCCCCCCATTGTCCCCCTCCCTTCCAGCACATCTTCAGTGGAAGGCTTTACCTTCTTATGAACACTAGGGAAACTGAGGCAATGGAACCCCTAGGCTTTCTGATCCTTTGCAGAATCGCCCATTTCAGTTGACCAGGGGAGGGGCTGACTCCGCTGGGGATGAACTCTGGGACCAAGGGCCCTCAAGTGCTGACAGGTGCCAATCAGGGCTCTTGGCAGGAGTCTGGTAAAGGTGGAGTCCAGCCCTGCCTTCTGTTCCCTGTTTGTGTTGTTTTTCCTGAGCGGAGCCAGGGAGCGCTAGCGTCTGCAGGGCCCTGCTTGGTGTTTTGTTCATGGTTGTGACAAGCTGTGCAGCAACTGTCTTTGGGGCTGTTCGGTCCCCTGAGCCATGGGGAAGGCCGGGACCAAGGCTAGTGCTCACACATTTCTTGGTTTAGGAGGTGGGCTGGCTCCGGCAGACAGCTGGGCAAAGCCAGTGTTGAGAAAGGAGAGACCCTGTAGACAGATGAGCCAACGCTTGCTCTGATGGGCTGTGCTGGCCATGGCCAACTCCAAGACCCTGCTCTTGTAGGAGGTCCACTTGTTCGTCCTGGCTGCCCAGCTAGTTTAGCCCCAAAATAACCACACAGAAACTGTATTAATTGAATCACTGCTTGGTCCATTAGCTCTAGCTTCTTATTGGCTAACTCTTATATTAATTTAACCCATTTCTAGTAATCTGTATATTGCCACGTGGCAGTGGCTTACCGGGTAAAATTCCCAGTGTCTGTTTCTGGCAGCTCCAGGGCCTCTCTCTGACTCTGCTTTCTTCCTCCCAGAATTCAGTTAGGTCTTCCCCGCCTACCTAAGTTCTGCTCTGTTAACAGGCCAAGGCAGTTTCTTTATTAACCGATGAAAATCTGTAGAAGGAGAGCCTGCTTGTTCATCCTAGCTGCCCAGAACCAAAAGAATCCCATGGAAACTGTATTAATTAAAATATTGCTTGGCCCATCAGCTCTAGCTTCTTATTGGCTAACTCTTATATTAATTTAATATAAGAGAGACTTACATAGATCTTATCTACATGGGAAGTAGAAAGTAGAAAAAGACTAGATCTCCTGAGTAAATTGGGAGCATGGAGATCTTGGGGGAGGATTGAAGCGGAGAGGGGAGAGACAGGGAGGGGAGCAGAGAAAAATATGGAGCTCAATAAATATCAACAAAAAGAATGTCCTTATGGTCATTAAACATGTGCCTCTTTAATTAGGACTTTGTGTTCCATGTTACCGAGTAGAGCGGCCATTTGTATTTACTCATATCTGTGATGTACTACCCAAGGTGGTAGCCTAGACACGCGATAAGACTTCCATACACAATAAGGAATCCAACGTAAGTCAAGGTGGTGTCCTCACCACTAGACAGCATTTTCTCACCAACACCTGTATCCCCTGAGAAACTTCTGAGGGTTAGGAAAAGTTTCAGGGACAAATTCAAACGGAGGCCTGTATAGGGCCTGAGCTGGGCAAGGGGGTTGGACAGATCTTAGCTTTGTGGAAGTTTGAGCAGATGGGGAAGGAGGCCTTGTCCACTCAATGAACTTCTTCACTCTTGTGTCGGGAGTGTCCGATTTCATGGGGGACCCTTGGGTCTAACTGGATTGACTCATTGCCCCCCAGGTCCTGTACCATGGCAGTCTTAGGCAACTGGGGAAGGTTGCTGTCAGGAAGCTGTCGAAGTTTCTGCGTCCCTAGTATGCTTTCAGCCTTGCCCATGGAAGTCAAGTTCTCAGTGTCCCAAGCAGCTGGGCTGTCTGCGCTCACGGTTTTTTAACGTCATGTGTTTGTGGGCATGCCTAAGTGGAGGTTGTGTCCATAGAGGTCGGAAGAGGACACTGGATCACTGGATGGGTCCCCTGGAACTGGAGCTACCGGCAGTTGTGAGCTGCCATGTGGGTGCTGGGAATCAAACCTGGGTCCTCTGGAAGAGCAGCCAGAGCACTTAACCACTGAGCCATCTCTCCAAGCCCCGTTCTTACAGTTTTGTTGGAGCTTCAGCCTTTGGGATATCCCTCTGTCTTCCTGAGCACCTGAGGGCATTTGCCCAGGGGGTGCTTATGCATAGGTACTGCCAGACAGTTACTCTCAGGGGAAACCAGCAGCGGGGCAGTGGAGAGTGTTGTCCGCTTGTCCTTCTGCCTGTCCTTTAAATGCATGCATTGCATTTCCCAAGGTCTGCACTGTTTCTGGCATGGTCCAGGCATGGAGATCACTAGGGCATGGTGGGAACTCAAGGGGCTCCACGTCTGAGGATGATGCATCGCTAGACTCTGAACACACAAAGTGTTCGTATGCAAGGAGAGCATGGTGTGAGCCCTTATCTTCTAGGAAGCTTTAGGATAAAGAGCTGTACTTGTCCTTCCTCGTCGGGACCCCCAGGCCGAAAATAATGACATGAAGATTATTACTAATCACTCCGGAGTGAGTTCAGGGACAGTCAGGGCTGCAGTTATAGTAAGACCTTGTCTCAGACAAACAGAAGAATTTATTGGTGTGTGTGTGTGTGTGTGTGTGTGTGTGTGTGTGTGTCTGCATATATGTTTGTGGGTGCTGGCGGAGGCTGGAAGAGGTATTGCACCCCCTGGAGCTGTAATTACAGGCAGTAGCGAGATGCCCACTGCTGGGAACTGTGCTCCGGTTCCCTGAAACAATGACCTTTGTCTCCCAATCTTCCTATTGCCGCCCTGAGAGCTGGAATTGCTATGACGTTCCGCCACACACCACGATTTATGTGTTACTGCGATTAAAACCCAGGGCTTCAGGCGTGCTAGGCAGGCATTCTACCCACTGAGCTGCACCCCCAGAGTCCGCCTCTGTTTTTATTAATTAATTAAAACATTATTCTTTTATTTTGAGATAGAATTGTTTTGTTTTAAGATTTGTTTGTTTGTTTGTTTGTTTGTTTATTTCATATAGTGTTTTGCCTGCATGTATGCCTGCAGGCCAGGAGTGGGTGCCAGATCTCATTTCAGATGGTTGTGAGCCACCATGTGGTTGCTGGGACTCAGCAAAATTTCTGGAACTCAGAAATTCCTCCACTGTGCTTTCTTTTCTTTTTCTTTTTTTTCCCTGGTTTTTCGAGACAGGGCTTCTGTGTAGTATTGGAACCTTTCCTGTAACTCCCTCTATAGACCAGACTGTAGATCGGCCTGTCCCTGTCTCTCCAGTGCTGGGATTAAAGGCACGTGCCATCACTGCCTGGCTTTCTTTGTTTTTGAATTTTGTTTTTAATGTGCTTGAAATTATATGTACATGCACTATATGTCTGCCTGTTGCCTGCAGAGGCCAGAAGAGGGCTCCCTGGAACTGGAGTTATAGACAGTTGTAAGCCACCATGTGGCAGCTGGAGGTCAAACCTGGGTCTTCTTCAAGAGCAGCCAGTGCTTTTAACTGCTGAGCCATCTCTTTTGCTCCCTCCCTCTTCTAAAGGATTTATAGTCTGAATTTCCCCCAATCATTTCAAAATGGGGTTACTCCTGCATCACATCATATTGGGGAAAGGCATTTTGAGGCTGTTATCCCAAGTTCTAAATGGCAAGTAATCAGAGGTCAGGAAGCAAGGATGCAGAAGCACTTAGAGCCATTCAAGAGATGGGCTGGTGTGGCAACCTCCCCTCGTGTGTGTGTGTGTGTGTGTGTGTGTGTGTGTGTGTGTGTGTGTGTGTGGCGGGGGAAGGGATAGCTTTCCACACTTGTCTGTGGTGTGCCTACAATTGTCTCCTCTACAGACAAGGAAAGACAGTGCTGGGACAGTTTCTCTAGAGAGAAACTTTGGAGTCCGAGGTCTTCTAGTCCCTGAGCACTGCAGGCTCAGAAGGCAGACTGGCTTTGCCTTGGGAAGGGTGGAACGCTGCCCCAGATTCCCTTTCCTGCAACTGGACACTCCTTGCTGGGAAACAAAAGGGAGCAGATGGGACTGGGAACCCTCACTATAGCAGGGGACACGTTGGGGGCTCCCAAAGAAGCCCCTTCCGAGTCCTCAGGATTTGATGTTCATCACATTGTCAGCTTTTGCAGTTTCTCACTGGCCCCAACTCTAAATAGACACCTAGTCCATCCCCTGACGTCTGCATTTTTAAAGGAAGGAACTCCCTGAGTTCCCCAAGCTTGGCACCCACAGAACCTGAAGTATCTATGTTGAGAAGCTGCTCCCCAGGCAGGTAGAGGTTCTGACCTTGGTTGTCAATATGCTGTGTACTGCTGTCGATGCAATGACATGGCTGCTTTCTTTTCCTTCTTCCTTTCTTCTTTTCTCCCTCCTTCCCTCCCTCCCTCCCTCCCTCCCTTCCTCCCTTCTTTCCTTCCTTCCCATCCCTCCCCTGCCCCGCTCTCACTCTTTTCTTCATTTTTTTTCTTTATAGCCAATAGGAATCTGATTTTCTTGAGCAAGCGGGGGTTCTGTTTTCTTTTCCCTTTTTCCCATTACCAGGTTTCAAAGAACTGGGTAAATCTTAGCCCAAATGGAGGACTTGTAAGGTCAGAGCGCCGCCTGCTGGGCAAAGTAGAACACAACACGGAGAGGTGCCGTCTCAGCAGGACTCAGGGATGAGGCCAGTTCCTGTGGGCTTCTGTCTCAGACAGGCGCCTGTTTAAGTATGGAACACACAACCGATTCAGGCATGAGCATGCTTTTGCGTACACTCGTGTTTCTCGCTTGACTTGGGCTAACTCCGATGGATCTGCCGCAATTCTCATAGACCCTACTCACCCTCGACCTAAGGGCAGAGGATTGCCCTAAGACTCAATCCTCTGCAGGACTGCTACTTAAGACACCAGCTGCAAATGGGATCTTTAGGATGTCTGCATTTCTGACTGGCCATGTAAAAGTTTGAGGGTCCTGTTTCCCCCTCGCTGCAGGTACCGCACCAACAATTATAATTTCGTCAGAAAGGCTGCAGGCTGGGACGGGTGGCTTGTTTGGTAAAGGCGCATGCTACTCAAGCCTGGAAACCTGAATCTGGATCCCGGAAGCCCATGTGAAAGCCAGATAGGGTGGTCTGTGTCTGGACTCGTACCCCTCCCACGGTAAGATGGGAGGAAACAGGGAGCTTGTTGACCAGCTATCCAGAAGTATTCAGCCAAACCAGCAAAACAGAATCTATACCCAACACCGTGGAAGGTGATGACCCACACTTGAGGTTGTCCTCTGACCTCTACACGCACACTGTGACACGCACATATTCTAAAACATGCACATGCGTGCGTGGGTACACACACACACACACACACACACACACACACACACACACACGTGCTAAAATAAAATAAACCAGACTCATAAAGGACAGCACTCCAGGACAGCCAAATGAAGGTGAACTTAGAGCAGGATCTGAGGGCTGACGCTTGGGAAGTCCTCTTTGTGGTGTCTGGACACACCACCTCCTCCACAATGCTGTTCATCATCAGGCCTCCGGGAGCCAGGGTTTGCTGGAGTTTCATGAGGTGGGCATGATTGACAGGAGGAGGCCAGAGGATTAAACTCTACCTTCAAGCTACCCTCCTGGGAGCAGGACACCTGAGTCTGGATTGGAAGGCCCAGCTGTAGTCTTGGTCTTTTTGGTGATCAGCTCCCATCCCAAAGCCATCTGAGAGTTGTGTGACTCATCCATTACCACGACAAAGACATTTCTTCTCAGGAAATTCCAAGGGTTTTGGCACTCTAAGAACTACAGAAAAGACCAACCTATTGTTTTTAAGCTGGGGACAAGGGGTTTCTCCTCTAGCCTAGTCTGACTTTCAATATGGCAAATGCTTTCTTTCTTTCTTTTTTTTTTTTTAAACCTCTATCTGCACACATGTGTACAAGTAGAAATGTTGGGTACCAGGCATCTTGAACTCATAGCAGCCAGCCAGATATCCTGGCATTGTCAAGCACTCTCAAAAGCCATGGCAAGACAAAGTTTAGAAAAAAAAAATCTCCCTGCCAGGCAGGATGGCTCCGGTCTAAGAGACTAGCCCTCAGGAGGCTAAGATAGGAGGATTGCAGAGAGCTGGAGACCAGTCTGGGCTGCAGTGTGAGACCAGAGCTGAGGACATCGGGCGGGGGATGGTGGGGAGGGTGGGTGAGGTCCCTCTGAGGATCAAGCCTCTATTCTTCCCTGTGGTGCATGCTGGGCTGGGAGCCAGCTTCCACAGCTTCCACAGCTGCCCAGCCTTCCTCTCCCCCTGGAATGCGATGCCGGCTTCCTGAGAGTCTTTTCTTCATTTTGGTTCAAGGCTGCTGGTCAGAAGCCAGGGTCTTAGGACACAGGCTAGCGTTGCCAGCCATTGTTTGCTTTTGTTTAAAACCAAACAGATCCCGAGCCCCCACTTGGCAGGGCAGGCTTGGTTTCCTGAGGACACTGTAGCTGCCACCAGGACTGACTGTGGAGGCGGTGGCATGTGTACGCTCTCTCACCCATTCCTAACCAGCATCAGGACCACGCCTGCTCTGAGAAACAAGTCTGTTATGGTGCTTGTTTCTAGGATGGAAGCTTCTGAATCTGGAGTCGGTGCCTTCCCCAGGACTGAGGGTGGGGCTGGCATCCTGCTTTGTTGGTCGGTGAACTTGCTGCCCGCCTGTCCCACCGTGTGAGCTAGCACTGGAGTTCCTGCCTCCTGTTTCCCTGTCATTCTTAAGACCCTGGACTGTTTGCCAGTCTTAGCCAAGGCTCGAGGTTGAAACTCCTCCTGAGCGTTTTTTACGATTCAGTACTGGGGTGTGTTGAGTGGGCCCTGCCTGTGCCCTCTGGGTTCTGTAGTTCCCACTCCCCTCTCTCAGGAGTGGAATACCGCTGTAACAAGGTTAAGACAAGGGTAAACAAGAAAGGGTTTCATGTACGTTATTCCATTTACTCTTCACAGGGCTCTATAGAAGAAAGGGTGCTATTATCACCCCCATTTACAGATGAGAAAACTGAAGCCAGAAACATGGAACCCATTCGCTGCTCAAGGTGACGAAGGTGGTAACTGGTAAAGCTAGGTAGATTTCAATCAGAGAATTGTACCCCGTTATGGTGCTAACACACAAAGGTATCCATCCAGTGTCCTGCCACTTTAGTTCCCCCAATGGGATAGCTAAGCCCCGTGGGAGTGGAGGCCGGGGGTGGGGATCGACAGGATTTAACCACTGAAGAGAATGGGATTCCTCTCACAAGTCATTTCAGCTCTCGCAATGTATCTCCCACTTTGGTGTCTTCAGAGCGATCCGCCTTAAACTGTCCCCTGATGGGGAAAAGGTGTGAGGCAGCCTCAGAGGGACAGGGTTTAGACACATTGCAGGGCCCTGAATCTCAGCGTTGTTCTTTGCTACCTGGGAGATCGTGGACAAGATGCTGAACTCCTCCTAACTGGGAAATGAATTGAACGGTGCTCATTCTACAGTTCCGGGAGGACACAGAGAGCTTGTTCTCAAAGCCCAGTTGGAGTATGGGACGAGGGATAAACCCAGACCGCTGTGTTCTAGGGTACAGCAGTCTCTAGGTTTGTTTCTCTCCTTTTGGCCTCTACTGCTCCTGCAGGGTCCTCTCGCTTAAGCTTACGGTTTACCAGTAGACAAAGAGTTGCCGCAGCCCCTCCCTACCTCCGTGCTCCCGCCGGTTTGCTTGTTGGGCTGGGCTTGCTGGTGCTTCTGCAGTCCTACTCAGCGGTGTTTCCTGCTACCCAGCCGGCTGGCTAGGTAGGGGACCTGTTGTGGAACTCTCCAGGGGCTAACTTTTCTTCCTGATTACAGATGTGCGCGGTAGTTCTTAGTAACCCCTGATCGACTGTGAGAACACGGAAGCTTGGAGGGGTCTGCGCGGGTATGGACTCCTGGGTCCCTGGGGCTGATCAGGGTGGGTTCCAGGGGCAGACGTTCTAGAAGTTAAGAGAAGTTCCTGGAAGACTCCAAGTTTAGGGAACGTCTCTAATGAGGACTTTTGAGGCTAACCTGACATCTAGTGGTTACAAATGGGAATGACGCCACCTTTGGGAGTTGGTAAAAAACAATCGGGTTTTGGGAGAAGCCTCAGGATACTGGGGGAAGGTCTGGGTTTGACCATCTGTCTCTCACTTACTTAGAGTGGAGTGTCAGGGTCAAGGGGTGACCTAGAGGGATGGAACTGGTGATCGGGGTAGATTCTAGCTGTCTAGAATCTCCATCATTCCTAGAAATCAGCCTGAAAGAAAATCAAATGTATAGTGATCATTGCTCTCTTTTCAGTTTTATACAAAGAAGAACAGAAAGAAATGGGAGCTTTAACTGATGCACAACCATCCTAATTTTCATTTTTTGCACATTTGGATATTCGTTTCAGCCATATACAATCCTTAGGCCCTATTAGTTATGGATGCTCCATATAAGTTTGTAGGTTATAAAAGATTTAAAAGATCCCTGACTTCAAAAAAACCTCACCTTCCTTTGAGAAGACAGTTCCAACAGCCACAGGACACCCCGATATGTCTGCTGCACTTTTCCCACCATCTTTGCTGTGACCCTGAGCTCTTATTTTACCACCCAGCTTCATCTTAGGATTGTGCCACCTGCGCCACTGACCTGTGAGTCATCTGCTTGTCTTATTATCACATGCATAAGACAGGCATCGCCTGCCCCAACTGCTCCACAGTGTAACTGGTGACATTATTCTTGACACCCTTCAGCATGCCACAGCCTGGCCAGTGGTGACTTGAAAGAAGAGGGAGGGGCACTACTAGAAGGTGTGACTTTGTTGGAGTAGGTGTGGTCTTGTTGGAGGAAGTGTGTCACTGTGGAGGCGGGCTTTGAGCCTCATATGTGCTCAAGCTACTGCCCAGGGTCTCAGACCACTTCCTGTTGCTTGCAAGATGAAGGACTCTCAGCACCATCTCTGCTTGCATGTTGCCATGTTGCACCATGAGGACAATGGACTGAACTTTGAACTGTAAGCGAGCCACCCCAATGAAATGTTTTCCTTTGTAAGAGTTGCTGTGGTCACGGTGTCTCTTCACAGCAGAAGAAACCCTGACTAAAACACCAACCCACCTGAGCACTGTGTGTGCTCATGGCTCTTCCTTTCCCTCTTTTTACAAAATTCTGCATCTTGCCTTTCTTTTCTCTTCTTTCCCCCTTTCTTCCTCCCCACTTTTTTGCATTCATGTATGTGGGTGTAGGTAGGTATGTGTGTGTCGCAATACCTTTAATTCCTGAGCCACCTCTCTGGCCTCTTTTGTTTTTTGAGACTGGCTTTGGAGTCATTATGTAAGCTAAGCCACTCTCAAACTTATGGCAATAAACTTTCTGTCTTGGGCTCCAGAGTGCTGGGATTGCAGATAGGGATGGCCACACCTGGCTTTGCCTACCTCTTTTCTCAAGACTTAAACCCTTTTGTAGTGTGTGTGTGTGTGTGTGTGTGTGTGTGTGTGTATGCTCACACTACAGCATACATATGCATATGCAGGTCAGAGGACAACATCCAAGCGTTTTCTCCTTCCATCATGGATTCAAGGATTGAATTAAGGTAAACTGGCTAGGGCAGCAAGCACCTTTGCCACCGGAGCCATTTTAAAACATAACACAAACCGAAGAGCTCTGGAACACAATAAGAAATCAGTTTTGTTGTTCGTGGTCAGGTAAAACCATGGGGGCTCCAAGGTCAAGTGACCAGGTCATGCTGTGATCAAGTTGGACTAGATGCCAAGTCTTTTGGTTTCTTATCTTAGGGTCCTTCCATGTGGCCCCACAAAGTTTTCTTCTAAAGGGCCCTCATTTCTTCAGTGACTCTTTCTCCTACCATTGGCTCCTGTCTACACAGTCTTTCCCCTTGACCAAGGTTACACTACCATGACCACTGTTTTTGTGCCTTAACCCATTCCCTGTAGTCTCTTTTCCTCCTGTCTAGCAATTCTACATTCCCAGTTAGTCTTTGTGGCTATAAATGAGGCCACGTAGACTGTGTCCTCTTGATGTCACTAAACCCTGAGTGTCTTCCACCCCAGGGAAGGGAACAAAATCAGCAGCACAGAGAGAGATGCCCAGGACCAACATTAGCAGCACAGAGAGAGATGCCCAGAACCAGCATCAGCAGCACAGAGAGATGCCCAGAACCAGCATCAGCAACACAGAGAGATGCCCAGGACCAGCATCAGCAGAATAGAGAGAGATGCCCAGGACCAGCATCAACAGAATAGAGAGAGATGCCCA